TCAAAGAATAAACATCCAGCCAAAGCACACAAATCATTTTCATCAACGAGCGCCAACAACGAGGAGAAGGATGTACATAGTTGTCTTAGAACGAGGACTTGTCACACTTGACTTGATAATTCAGCCAGCAATAACAACAAAATCAACACAAATGATGAAAGTGAAGGCAGGACAAAGACCGTCAGTCAAGGCAGTCTCATCCTCATCCTCAGGCTCAGGCTCAGCTTTCCAGCTTCCTCCAACTTGATGAATGCGTGCAAAATGCAAAATGAAAATGCGCAATGAACACTCGAACATAAAAAAACATAATCATAAAGGAGGAGAGCCGAATGGATGGCTGGCAAAATGGAAATGTGGCGACAATGTGTAAAACAAACGAGGGGAAAAAATAATTCACCCACATACTACATAAGTACATACAAATATGCCAGAGTACATACAAACACTTTGCACTGATATGTCTAAGCCGCAGTCGCTGCTCCTGACAATGACGACAAATTGTATGCAACGTAAATTTATCACGCAAGCATGCTTGTGCAAAGAACTGGGGGCGGACCCACAAAAGGGACTACAAGATGAAGCTCAGAGCAATCTATAAAATACGCTATATAATTTCTTGATTACAACTTTTGAGCTTTTATTAGAAAGCTTATAATCAGAAAGCTAAGAAACAAAACTGTTCGTAGGAATATCTAAGCCGGAATTATTTTAATTAAACGTCAGCGAAATCCCTTGATGTCTCTATACTAAATTTTATTCCAAATCAAGTTAAGTTTGATCTTTTAACGATGTTGCTGACTTGTGAAATACCTCGTTATTGAAAGAATAATTGGCATCTGTTTTAAATGACATTTAACCCGATAAGGTCGACGAATTTTTGTATGTCTTTCAGAGAATCATTGACGGAAAGCTTTTCTTTGGGAATTTTCTGAAACCACTATTGGATAGTAGTTATAAATTGGAATCCTTCAGAGAACTGATTCAATTAAGCATTGATGGAAAGCTTTTCTTTGGGATTTTTTCTGGAACCACTATTCGATAGTAGTTATAAATTGGAATTCTACAGAGAACCGAATTAATTAAACATTGATGGAAAGCATTTCTTTGGAATTTTTTTGTAACCACTATTGGATAATAGCTATAAATTGGAATTCTATAGAGAGCTAAATCAACTGAACATTGATGGAAAGCTTTTCTTTCGTATTTTCTGGAACCACTATTGGATAGTAGCTATAAATTGGAACTCTACAGAGAATCGAATCAATTAAACATTGATGGAAAGCGTTCCTTTCGTATTATTTGCTGATGCCTTCCACCTGTTACATACTCCGTCGCTAAGCTAATATACCCTTACAATAAGTAATAATAATAATCACACGGCGCACATAAGTAACAAGAGTTCATGCAAAATGTGGCACACTGCAAGTGACAATGTGTGCCAGTCCGGTGATGGATGTAGCACAACTTTATGACATGCTACCCTTATCCCCCTCGCCTGCCGCACAGCTCCCTCTCTGCTAACAAACCACTCAATTCGACTACCCCAACGTAATACCCTTCCTCAAGCGTGCCAGGCAACGTAAATTTGTCGTTGGGCAAAATATTTGATAGATGTGTTGCCTGCTGCCTCGATGATTGCACAAGTGCTGCGAATTATAGGGACACAGAGGCGAACAAACATTTTTTCATTAGGGACCGACATGCGTGCGCCTTGCATGCAAAAGTATCTGCGTGTGTATGTCTGTGTGTGTGTTTGTATCTGTGTGGGTGGTCTGTCATATGTTTGAGCAACGTTACATTTTTTCTTCATTTTTTCTACCATCTAAATTGATTTTTTATTCAAATTTGCCTTTTTCGGTTGTTTTTATGCAGCACATATGATGGATATGTCGTATGTTCATATCACAACCAAGGGACCAACAGCAAAAAAAAAGCAGCAGCCAAAAAAAAAAAAAAAAAAAAAATGGCAACATAAAAAGGTAACAAATTTTGTCAATGATTTTCAAAAGCTTCAAGTTTCAATGCAGCTCCCTGTAGATGTAAAAAGTTAAATGAGGCAGACCTTCTTTATTTAGCGTCTGAGCAAAAGGTAAACGAGATTACTTTCTGATATAAGTACTCGTAGTTAGTTAGTTCGATAGAATTTCTATACATTTCAGATATCAAAGAAATTGTTTGTAATAAATATAAAAATGCACATGTTTCATTTCATATTCTTGAAACTTTTATGTCATGGAAATTTATAAAGCTGTTCAATTTTTGTGGCTTTAGATTGAACCCAAATATAAATATTAATATTTTAATAGAGCATATAAATAAAATACATGCTTATTTTTGAACAGGCTTTGAGAAGTAAGATTCAGAGATATTTTTTAAGAGAATAAATTTAAGTGTTGGTTTTAATTTAAGTAACATTTTGTTCATTAAATACCATACAGGACTTGTGAAAACCAAAGAATTTGTTTGAAAATATCTGTCTATGTTTAGGAATTCAAAATATTTTAAACGTTTCAAAAATATTTTTTTTTAACATTTGATTCCAATTTCTAAGAGTACATATGTATAAACATGTCTTAAGAATAACATATAAAATACGAGGTGGCTCCTTTATGGTGGTCCATATAGTAGATTCTTTTTAGAAATTGCGAAAAAAATCACAAATAAATAAATAAATAAATAAATGTACCCGCAGGGTATAAAGGTATATTAAGAGACAGAAGGAGCCATCTCCGAAATCCTTAAGGTATATATATATTTTTTGATCAGCATGACGAAAGAAATCGATCTACACATGTCCGTCCGTCTGTCCGTCCGTCTGAATGAACGCTTGGATTTCGGAAACAGTTGATCGCACATTAACCAAACTTGGTATATAGAGGCTCCTAGTCCCTAAGCTATACGAGTTTATTATATTTTCTTGATTTTCCCTCCCCTCCTCCCGATACAGAATTCCGTTAATACTGTCCACATTTCAAAAGAAATATAACTGAAACTTGCACACGTAATTTATCTTTTATTTATAAATATCTACATTTGTTTCAAATTTCATCCAAATCGGTCTATTCCATGAAAATCGCTTTGTTGAAGTGTCGATAAAATTTTTTTTATTAAAATATTCCCATATCTTGTTAACTAGTTGTTTGAAAATATTAATAAATACAAGTACTTGTATCTTTTCAAATTAAAGCTATCCAGTATGAAGTACTTGGCTCTATTTACGACTATGAGAAAATATGCAATATGTCTTGAATATGACGTTCAATCTCCAAGGTTGTCTCTAACCACATGTAGCTTTTCAATATGCAAATGGCAACGGCGTCTTAGGGAAAATATCAAAAGGAAAATTTGAATCAAATTGCAAAATTTGTGCTCTTCTGTGTGTGTTGGCTGTTAGCCACTGAACAAATACCGCTTTCCCTCTCAAGGCTAACCAACCAAAACTCACGGCCCCCTCCCCCCTTGACTAAGTGCACGACAAGCTCACCTATCCGAGGTTCCCCCACACACACACACACAAACACATCAGCACACACACATATATATACTCAAAGAGCTGGGCAAACAACGTCGAGGGACATGTGGCGAAGGTAGCTGCATGTGTTTTGCGAACTTTATTGAAAAATATGCGCTGACAGGTAATATGTCAATGCGTGGGATTTGCCAAAGAGCCAACAACCGCAACTACCCGACCAGGTCCGGATCTGCCTAGGTCCGGGTGTTGACACTTTCATGGACTTATGCCAGGGGTAGGGGTGGGGGTCTGGAGGGGAGCTGCCAAGGATATGCAAACGCCGTCAAGTTGTTTGTGCACGCCCTAAGCCATGTTTATAAGCTAAAGAAAATATGGCAGCACTCAGGCAGCCACCCACGATGAGGACGAAATCTGCCAAGGCGCCAAGCTGCTCGTAATCGTAGAAACGGGGTAACGGGGGTAATGGAGCGAACTCGGGCTTGGGGCTCATGATTTATCGCCATCAAAATTGAATATTGAGTGGCTGACAGTGGCACAAATATTAATAAAAACCAAACAATACAGGCAATATTCCATAAATGGCCATTTTTTACATACTTTTTTGAAAGGAAGTGAACAAGAATTGAATGTGAATCGTGATTCTTCGAAACGTGGAGTTGCAAAAGAATTTCATCTACTCTTTCTGTAGATATATACTTATGTATATGTTATAATAATAATAGAACCTCATAATAGTTCACACGTCGCAACCATGATGACAGAACACATGATTAAACAAATCCAATGCTACCATATAATTTAATAATTGTCCTTAGGACAGATCTTAAATAAAGAATAAAGATTAAAAAAATAATAATAAATAAATAAGAGTTCACACTAATGTGAATAAATTAAATCAGCAAACCAATTTTTGAGGATAAGAATAGTTTTTGTAACTCTTTCTGAAAAATCTACTTCAGTTATACAAATCTTAAAACAAAATTTATTTTTATTGAGAATAATAATTGTTTAATCAAAATTTTCTATGCGCTATGTTTAGAGGAAACCTATTTCAAGATAAAAATATATAAATACAAAGGCATAATGTAGTGGCGAAAAACGTATATCTTTATTCAAACTGTCTCTCTCTAATTCATATTATTTTTTTTAGATTTTTATATTACTCAGCTCTTTTTTGTGAGAAGTTTTCATAATATATACACAATTCTGTAGGCCGCACTTTAAAAGAACATTTTGTTAAGTGTCGAAATTACACATATCCAAATAGAGTGACGATTTTTAAAGCCTTTGTATTTTTTGCAGCCTCCATTTAAATAAGTCTTTAAAAAAATATAGTTTTCACAATATTAATTATTCTTCGTAATGAGCTCTCATCTTTAGCGTGGATGAAAAAACTAAGCTAATCAATTTCGTTTGTTATTCGATTTAATTGAAAATATATAGATTTGTTGGTAATTGCGATTCAGGTTATAGAGATTCCACTGTACTCAGCAATTTATATTTAAAAACAAATCAGTTAGGTGCTCACCGTAAAGAGACAACTAGCCACGCAGATTGCCGCCCAGGAACCAACCCAGTATCGCAGCACCGTGCGCTCGTGTTCCGGGAAGAACATGGCATGGCAAGGGGCGCCACAATCGTGCAGATCCTGTAAAGAGTTTAGACAAAAACAAACAAATGTGTGAGTGAGAGAAGCAAATGGAAATTAATTTGCTTTAGCGCGTAATTAATTAGGCTTACAATTTTCAAAGAGCTATGAGTCTTTGCAGGGATTAGTTAGTAAAAGAAGTGCTTCTATGAATACATAGAGGAAGCGACTTGCTAGGTGGGCGGTAAGTGACTTTAAGGTCGTTACAGCAGCTCATGGCTTCCTAATTATACTAAGCAGCTTAATAGCGAAATATGCAAAAAAAAGAAGAAAATCTTAACTAAAATGTTAAGCATTTTTATGTGAAATCATCAACGTTGCGACAATCTTAAATGTTGAGGCCAATTTAAAATTATTCAACAACCATTTAGGTATAGATAAGAAAGAGAATGAAGATATGTAAATATTTTTTTGAACTGAAGACTTAATTTTAAGCCAACTCGGAACCCGCTATTTGGTCTTATTTCCTTAAGTATTCGTTTGGTTTGCCATTGACTGGTTCAAGGGGCAGCTTTACTTAAAACAGACCTCGCTGTTAGTTGCTTATGCAGTTGCAGTTCAGGTTCCGGTTCTTAATGTAGTTAACCAACCAGCAGACACGATGCAGCAGAATTTCCATTCACGGGAAAGTGATTGAATTAACGTGGAATATTTGATTATAGTTTAATAAATATTACACTCATACATATGTTCGATATGCAAAGCAATTCATAAGGGGTTGACCTTTTCAAATGTACATATGCAACGAGCGTTGACAAAGTTTTTTTTTATAATTTTTATTTTATTTATTTATTTATTTTGTATTCGTGTGACACAAAGTTGCTTAAACCGTGAACTACTACAACATTAAGAAAAGCTAAACATTTACGCATCGACCACGAATGATATTGATTGAACTTTTAACCGACAACTATAGACTAGCCAGGACGGCGGACTATAGATTTGAGAATAAAACGCATTAGTCTTAAATTCATCCACTCATAGATGTGGAAGCTATACTGAACCAAAATTTTCGTATGGGGAACAAAATGTAGACCGTAAGGCCAGTATTGAAAAGCATAAACTAGTTTTTAACAGCAAAGCTTTGAGAAATATTCTAACACCAAGTAATGATTCTTAAAACTTAATGCCTATCCGAACCATTACTAATATCAAATTATGTTTAAAGGTAATATTCCGTGATATTCTCCATTAGTTTATGTGTATTTGCTTGTCCCGTTTTGACAGTAACTTTCGAATATATAAATAATTTCTGAAGCCTGCGAATCGGATTTTTGACAGTCTTTCATATGGCTTTGACAGTCCATTATTGTTATTAAAATCTTGTTATTTCTCATACTTTTCTTAAGAAGCCTGTACTAACTTAAATCAATTGGGTTTTACCAATACAAATATCTTTTAAAAAAAAGCCCTTAACGACTGTGTATTCGTTTTGAAAAAAAAATTGTTTGGCTTTATCAATATTAATTAAATTCCAGCTCTATGGTTGCTGTTGTTGGCAACCATATAAAAAGACAAGTAATTTTGATTGATTTATGAATGCATTTCCAATAATTAAGTGGAAAATAAAAATAAAAAATACTTTAATAAAATACATGATAACAATTCATTCAAAAGCAGTCAATAACAGAAGCCAACATTAAAATTCCCACATTTATGGCACAAAGGCTTTAATAAAATGTGTTGGGACGTGCAAAAAAAAAAAAAAGAAAAAATTAAATCGACACTTCAACAAGCTAAGCCAGATATCGAAGCCGGATTTAAAAGCATTTCCTTTCAACTCCCTTCCCATTGTTGATGGGCAAATCTAAACTGAGTTAGGGTCGGATCCCAGCGGATTCCCTGCAATCAGTCACCATGACAATTCTCAGTGCTGGCTAAACAATAACTGCAATTTAATGACATTACAGACAGACAGACGGACAGACAGACCGTCCGACCACCCTCGCGTCAACCTTGAACTCGACGCGGTCCAAAAAGCCCAGCCAACCAGCAAGCAACCCCAATGCACGAAAATTGCATGGTGAAGAGCGGCAACAATGCGGCCCGGCAAACCACAAGAGATTTGAATTTTAGATAGAAACAAACGCACGCAGTCAGACAGTCAGACAGTCCGACAATAAGACACACACACGCACTCACATTCACATTTACACTCGTTGGGGGCAACACACAAAGGCTGGCTGGCAAACAGCAAACAACGCAAAAATTCTTAGCTACCAAAACACACTCGTTATGTATGTTTCTGTTTTTGTATCTGTATCTGTATCTGTAGTTGTACTCGTATCTGTATCTGTAGCTACACATGTTGCCGCACCGGGCTGAATGCGCCATGTCCAAAACTGACTTTGAACTCATTTCGCATGCAGTCAGTCAGTGGCGTGGCAAGGGGCATGGGGCATGGGACATGAGACATGGGGCAAGGGGCATGGGGCAACAGCCGTCAGGCCGAGAACAAGAACGAGAATACAACCTCATTGCAGCCCATGGGACAGTGGCGTTGAGGCTTAGCCCATGCACTATAGGTAGAGACTGACTGCCTAGCCAGTCGCCTGGCTCTTTGACTGTGTCTGGTACCCTCCAAGCCTCTCCAAGCTCTACTCTTTCCCGGTCTGTCTTACTAACTGATTGTGTGTCTGGCATTGCCAAAAACTAAACGAAGCCAAGCCAAACGCGTCATCGTCATCGTCATGTGTATGTTGTTCGTCTGGCGCTTCTGGAAACGCAACCCCCAAAAATGGGTTGGCAGGCTGGCTTTATTTCAAATTCCCATTAAAAATTTAAAATACGCGCCGACAGTTTCTCTCCCGCCCCCGGTCCCGGTCCCACCACCACGCACAGCATTCCGCAATCATCGTTAGATGCCTTCTCTCTGCTCATCCTCCTTCATTATACTCCCAGTTTTTTCTCTGCGAATGGCGAGCTGGCTTAAACGCGTTTTATCTGGCGTCTGTGTTATTGCCACAACACACACACACACACACATGCAGACACATGGCTGAAATTTCCATATAATGATGTTAATGATAAGCGCAGAACGAAAAACGAAAAATTCAGCACGAGCGCAATATTTACGCATATTTGCGGCACATAAAGAAATCCTCGACAATAACATAAAACTCTTAACTGTTGATAGGCAACCAAGCAAACGAGCTAGTGTCTGTGTATCTTTGAGTCCGTTTGTCTGTGTGTGTGTGTGAGTGTGTGTGTGTAGTGGCAACACAGACAAACTTCCGTAAGGCAAGCTAAAGCCTTAGAACTGTTTCGCAAAATTTTCCTACATTAAAGTTTTCAACAAAATATTACACATGCAAAGCAAAATATTGAGGGAAAGATATTTTTTCAAAACATCCTGTCCTTTTTTAATCTTCTGTTTTGAACTTAGGAGAACATGTGTACCAAGATAGTTTTTCTACTTTCTAGGAACTTGAGAAAAAGCATGCTCCTTTGGACCTGAAGAATGGACAACGTGCTCTACAGTCTGAAAAGGAAATTACGTGTTTATTTAACAAAAGTTTTATCTTTTCGTTTCTAGTGGATACTAGTTATCAAAATTCAATTTTTACTTTTGAATGTGGATTAAGTATCCTAAGTATCCCTTTGAGGGTGAATTATTTTGTTGATCCTATTACTGAATTAACAACATTTTGTTTTAAAATTTAAAGGACCTTCATTATAATTTTAATTTTTTAATTGATTATCTATTCTTAAAATATTCCAGTGGTATTAAATAGGCATACTTGAAACTGGGCTCAGACAAATTTCGAAGTTTTGAAACTGAATTTAAATTATACAGACTTAATCGTTTTTCTTTATGGTAAGTATTCTTTAGAATCTCAAACTTCAAAAATTGAGCACAGTCGTTAAAGGGATTAAATGATATTATTAGTACAATAAATCCCATTTCCGATTTCTCATTAAAGCATATTCAAATTATTGAGATATTCATATTTACAATTATATTTAATTATTATTATTATTTATCCCAAACTGTACCTTAAAATCTCAAATGTTATTCAATTTAATAGAATCAATTGCAAAGTTTTTTTTTTAAAATGCTAGATTCTAATTCTATTTCCCTTATCCTACTTCATTGCTTCGTATAACAGTGAGACGTCTTTTCGACGCTTTACTGTAAATATTTTTGTGTGTGTGCGTGTGTTTTTGTTTGTCTCTGTATGTGTAGTATCTGTTTGACGGCGAACCTTCTTAAATTTCGTGAAATGTGTGGTAGCAGCATCAAAATTACCCTACTAGGCGCGCTTACTCTCTGAAAATATGAATTTGAATTTTAATGAACTGGCTAAAGTTGTCGAAAATGTTGTGCGGCATAAAGAATGAACGCCACGGCACAAGCAACAACAACACGTGTTTATCTTCGCATCTATTTATGTGGCAGCTTGATGCTTATTTAAGACTCCAATTTCACATGCTAATTGAGGGAGAGCTGGCCTATCCACAATATTTGCTTACATTTTGCATTGTGCACAGAAAACAATTAAATCAATAACAAAATAATATTCCATGGAAAAACAGAATATTTGAAATGTATATTATTAAGAACACAATGCGAGTAAGTATTTAAAACCATCAGCTCAGTTTAAATATCAGGCAATTCATATATAATATTTGATTTATTTTTTGCGAAAGCTACCTATACTGACAATATTCATATTATTACATATGTTACATAAAGACAAAGTATTTCAGAATTTTACAAACTTAAAGCCACTAAAGAGTGTAGAAAACAATTTCAAAGGCTTTAAAAAGCTACCTAGGGTGAGACTTGTTCGTCGAATAAATTTATTTCCAGGTAATTTATATATTAATTGAACCTTCGATTTTATTTTATTAATATATGAGAGATTTCTTATAGACCGAACTAATGGATCTACATATAGCTAGGAACGGGCCCAATCAGGACCTACAACTTTTGTATTTGTTTCTGGGATAGTTCGTCGAATTATTTCTTGAATATCGAATGACTCCGTGACGAAAAA